GGGTTCCAGACTGATGAACTGTATTCGAGTATTGGTCTAGCAAATGTTTTGTATGCTCTGGTTAGTAGTGTGATATTACCAGAGAAAAAGCTACGTAGGATTAGGTTAACAACTCTTAATGCCTTTTTGGCTATGTAGTTGCAGTGGGCTCTAGCACTTAGATCATTAGAGGTGAGTATTCCAAGGTCCTTTACAGAGCTTGGGTCATCAACAAGATCTTCACTATTCAGCTTGTATTTTATTTTCTGATTTTTTTTGCCAATATGTAAGACAGAGCATTTATTTGTTGAGATTTGAAGTTGCCATTTGTTTGACCATTCAGATACATAGTCAAGATCTTTTTGTAGGGTAGCAGTATTGTCTGTGGTATTGAACAGCTTTACATCATCAGCGAAGAGAACGCAATTGCTCTTAATATGATCGTTTATGTAGAGTATGAAGAGAGTTGGTCCTAGAACACTGCCCTGGGGGACACCACTATTGACAGGTACTGGATTTGATAGGATGCTCCCGATTTTGACCATTTGTTGTCTGTTTGACAGGAATGCTTCTATCCAGTTATTCAGTTGTCCAGAGATACCATAGGATTTTACTTTTAGGAGTAGTTTGTCGTGTACCACTGAATCAAAGGCTTTACAGAAGTCTATGTAGATTGCGTCTATTGCTTTGCCCTGGTCGAGTTGTGTCGTCCATATGTTTTTGCAGTGTAAGAGTTGCAGATTACAGGATAGTTTTTTTCTGAAACCAAATTGTTTATTGGAGAGTAGGTTGTTTGTCTCTAAGTGGAGGATGATGGATTGGTTAATAATTGATTCCATGACTTTACAGGTGACGCAGCATAAGGAGATTGGCCTGTAATTTTCAACTAGGCTTGGGTCTCCCTTTTTGAAGATGGGGATGACTGTGGCTTGTGACCATAGGTTAGGCAAGGAGGATATATTTAATGGATAAAGAACTTGAGGGGGGGAGAAGTTTGATGTTATATATGTTGATGGCAGCAAGAATAGTTTATGCACAAAAATGAAAGGATACTTTGATTCTTATAATGGATGAATGGCTGCAAAAATTATGAAGTTGGCAAATATGGCTGAATTGACGGCTTTGGTTAAAGAAAAGAACATAATTTTGTTTCTACTTGAAAACTGCTTTTGGACTTTGAGTAGAAAAAATGCTTGAGGTAGAAAAAAATGAAACTTTGATTTAGGGTTTTGCTGATTGGATAGTTTTATCTAATTGTTATATAAATGGCTAGTGTTTATTGCTATATATGGGGCGGCTTTGGGGGCATGGGAGTGGGAGGCCTTGTGCTGTCCTGGTTCACTTCCTTCTGTCCTGGTGGGGAGAGATCCAGCCCTCACCCACTGCTTTATGGGGTTCCGCAGGGCTCAGTACTCTCTCCACTCCTGTTCAACATTTATATGAAGCCACTGAGTGAGATCATCCATCACCATGGACTGAGGTATCACCAATATGCTGATGATACTCAGCTGTATGTCTCGGCCTGTGGTGAGTTAAGTGATGCTGTGTCCTCCCTCTTGCAGTGCCTGGAGGTTGTTAGGGGCTGGATGCGGAGCAATGGGTTGAAACTAAACCCTTGCAAGACTGAGTGGCTCTGGGTTTGGGGTTCATTGGCTCGGGGAGAATTGCTACCTTTGGTCTTGGATGGGGTGGCACTATCCCAAACAGACCCTGTGCATAATCCAGTCATTTCCTGGACTCATGACTCCTGCTCAAAGAGCGGGTGGCAGTCATGGCCAGGAGGGCCTTTGCACACCAGTTGGGGCCTTTGTGGGTTGTGCACCAGTTACGCCCTTTTCTGGACCAACAGGTCCTACTCACAGTCACTCATGCCTTGGTCACTTCCCGTCTTGACTATTGCAACACGCTCTACATGGGGCTGCCCTTGAAGTGCATCTGGAAACTCCAGTTGGTGCAAAATGCAGTGGCCCACATGGTTTTGTGCAGACCCCAATGTGCACATGTATCATCTCTCATGCGGCAGCTGCATTGGTTGCCGGTTTGCTTCCAGATTTGCTTTTGGCAATTCAAGGTGCTGGTTGTCACCTTTAAAGCCCTTCATGGCTTGGGACCAGGTTATCTGAGGGACTGTCTCTTGCTGGTCCCATCTACCCAACACATTAGAGCAAGGAGGCAGGGAGTGTTGCGGGTCCCATACCCGAGGGAGATACATACACCTGGTGTGACCCAGAAGAAGGGCCTTCTCTGTGGTGGCTCCCTCTCTCTGGAACATCCCCCACTCTAATATGGCCCCCACTCTAATATGCTTCTGGAAGGTGCTGAAGAACTGGTTCTGCCAGTGAGCCTGGGGAACCCAGATCAGAATGGAGCCCATTAAATGGTTTGTGTGATCTGCTGCCACCGGGGTGGGGGTTGGGAGTAGGGGAGTGATTTTGTTATATTGTACTATATTAATTGATTTGATTATTTTTGTTAGTTTTTATTGTTTTAAATGTAGTTTTATATTCTGTAAGCCGCCTTGAGTCTCCATGGGTGAATAGGGAGCAATATTAATTAATTAATTAAATAAATAAATATAAAAATAAAAAGTTGAGGTTTTATGTTATTAATTTATTCTTCTACACCAAAAGGAGTCAGAAGTCAATGCTTTTCTTTTTCTTTTCCCCTTTACCCTACTTTTTTTTCTCTATTACTTTTCCACCCTTATTTTTCCATTATTTCCATTTTTCTTTATACTTCTATATTTTACATTTTGATAACCTAATAAAATATTTGAATGGATAAAAAGAAAAGCAGGGACCATGAGAGAGAACTAGGTCTCCCAGTGAACTACCACTTAAGAATGAGTCAGCTGTATGCTGCAGCTGCCAAAAAAGCCAATGCAGTCAATAGAGGGACAATATGAAGGCCACATGAATTGTTAGTACTACTTTATAATGCACTGGTAAGACCATACTTGAAATACTACATCCAGTTTTGGTCACCAAAATACAAAAAAATATATTGACACTCTAGAGCACAGGTGTCATACTCGCCGCATCAGGTTGCCACTATGTGATGTTTCACATGTTTTTCTCCTTCGTGGAGCTGGGATGGGCGTAGCCTGTAGTATTCTACCGGTTTGGCCCAGTTCGGCCTAACTAGAAGTTATGAAGATCATCTGTGAGCGAACCGGTTCGCTCCGACAATCAGCTGCTGGGCCCTTCCATCCACCCCGGCTCTATACCGACCTTTATTTCCTGCTTTTTAACCTCAGCTGCCACACATCAGCTGTTTTACATACAGGGCTTGCAGTAGAAGGTGAATTGCAAATGCTGCGCGCACGTAACTCACACCGAACCAGTAGGAAAAGGTTTTAAAACCAACCACTGGCCTGCGCATGACTCATCTGGCCCACAGGCCATCAGTTTGACACCCCTGTTCTAGAGAGAATGCAGAGAAGAGCAACAAAGGGGATTAGGGGTCTAGAGTCTAAAGCATACACTGAATGGTTGCACGTTTTTCAGTTATTACATTCTGTTAATCTTGGATGTAAGAGTTTGCTCCATTACTGTTTGCTGTTATCATTTTTCCTTTTGTTCTTTTTCCTGATATGATGTCATAAGATTCTCTGTTTTGTTTGCATTTCCAAACTGATTTTGTTTTACACATTTTCATCTTCTTTTTGAAATCATATGCCCATATCACAGAGGAAATCTGTACTTCTTTGACAGATGGTGTGACAGCCTTAGAGATCAAACACATATGAATTCTTGAGTGTACTTTGTGTTTACAGGAACATAATCTCTATCAGAGCTTCCAATATTTTTCCCTAGTGGATTTTCAAATTCCAAACATTGGTCAAATATCCATATCATGAAAATACTTTCTTGGAAACTATTTTTTTCTTCTTCTACAAATGATGTGACCAAGCTCAGGTCTAGCACTTCACCCATATTTCTGTGATAACTTACTTCTCTGCAATTAATTATTAACATCTGGAAGAAGCGTCCCTACAATTGTTCCATATCAGTATTGGGAGCATTCATGGACGGCAGTGTCAAAAATTTTCCTTCTTTTTTTAATTTCAAGATTAATGTTCTTCCTTCTTTATCTTTTAATTGTTAATAAACTACTATTTCATTTGTTGTTTTGTTTTTCCTAATGTTATACGTTCCTTGCCTAATTTTCAATGTTTCAGCAAGATGACAGGGTTTTCTTTTTTGTGATGTTTCTTGTAGATTAATACGCTCAGCTTTAAATGTCTTGAGTTTATTAAAACTCATTTTCATTTGGGAGGTAAGTTTAGTCTGTTTGCCTTTAATGAGACCAATGTTGCCTTGTCTATTTGAAAGGCAACTTAATTCTTGGTTCATCTCTTTCACTTCATTCAAGTAACATTCCAAATGCCAACAATTATTCTTCAATTCTTTTTATAGTTTTATTGGAAGTCAATAAAATGAAAGTACTTACTCTGAATTTCTGGATACTTCATCATTAGGATTATGGCCCAGCACAGAGTGTTTGCCATTGTTTCTGTTCCAGCACCAAATAAGTCATCCACAAGACCTATAAGGTTTTCATTACGGAAATATCCATCATTTTTTGTATTTTTATTCTCCTGAAGTATATAAACAAAATGCAAATAAGAAAACACAACCTACTCACATAAACAACATTCCTAAAAAAATAATTACACACACATATAAAATAACTAGCTCGATACCCATGCTTTGCAATGAAACCATGTGGTTGGGCTTAGTTTTGGGGGAGGAAAATAAGGAGGAAAATTTTTTGCCCCTGCCTACCAGCATCCATTGGTATTCATCCAGCTAGTGTCCTGTCAGTGTGTGAGAGAGTTGAGGGCTGTTTGGAAACTGAAACAGTATTTGCTGTGTGAGCAAGAAGGAGAGACTGGGCATGGCTTAGCTCAACTGTTCTGTACTAAAGCTGGTTGCTGATGTGAAAGTAAAACTGAAACTCCGCTCCTCTGCTTGTGTTTTACATTTGGAACAGATTTATTTTCAAGTGGGGAGGGGGAGTAAAACTCCTTAGCATCAGAGCCAGAGGGGGTATTAAGCCAGTTCACACCAGTTCCGGCAACCTGGTAGCAAGAAGGGTGGTGGAGCAGGTAGCGACTTCTGGCTAGCCACGCCCCCAAAATGGTATGGTCACCCAATGGTCGCTCACCCCTTCTGGATGCTCAATCATCTTTTCTGACCGTTCGATGCTCGCCCCACCCCTCCACCCCCACCCTATATATATCTTGTCTTTGCCACATGGCCCAGCTAATTGCCTCACCAGTTGCTTTGTTGATGCCTGGTCAGCTTAGCTCACCAAAGGTAAGCAATGCATGTCCCATGCTGAGCCTTCTCCTTGGGTCGGGGGCAGGGGCCCCAGGAATGTGTGCTATTCCCTGAGGCCCTGGAACCGCCAGCTGCCTTGGCTGGGTCAGGGAATGCGTGATTCCCCAGCTACAGTCTTGCCCCGGAGCCACCACCCACTTGCCACCCACTCTCCCTTAGGCACGTTGTGTCACCTATTTTCCCCTCCTTCAGAGGCCCTGGCCTGGCCCTTAACCTCCTCACTTCCTCCCCTACGACTGCCTCTTTCATCGTCCATGGCTGCGACCTTACCTTCTCCTAGTGGCTGGGCTTCCCGCCAGCAGCTGCTGCCTCTTTTTTTTGGTGCAAGAAGTCTCCCAGCCGGTAGTCCACATGCTGTCTCCTAGCAGAAAGTTTTGGGACCTCACATTTGCACACATGAGGCTGGGACTTTCTGCAAGGAGAAGACACATGGGCAAGTCCCTCTGGTGCAGCGGGCTCAATGGGGTGGACCTGCATGCTGGGCTGGCACTTCTGTTCCCCTTGCTCTCTTCCAGGTTCCAGCACACCAGCCAGCCTGCCACCACTGCAGCAGTTCACACATGCAGCCGTGCCTCTCCAAAAGAGCAGCAGTGAGAGACGGGCGAGAACTGCTCTTGGCGGTGGCAGGAGCATCTGGCAGGGCAGCATTTGTTGGTGGGGCATCAAATGCCCCATATCCGAGCTGGCCAGTGTGCCAGAACCTGTAATAGCAAGGAGAGCAGAGCTGCCAGCCAGAACGGGCAGCCCGGGGCTTTCCTTCCTCCCCATCCACGCAAGCTATTTGCTGCTCTTCTGGGAAGGCAGGGCTATGCAGGAGCTGACTCCATGTGGGAGGAATATCTGTCTGACCCTGTGGTAAGAGGTGCTCCAAAAGGGAGGGTGGGAACTCCCGGGGCTACCTCCTGTAGCAGCACCACCACACCTGTAGCTGCTCGCTTTCTGCCTTCTCCCAGGGCACAAAATGAACAAAGCGACCATCCATGGTGGCTGCATGCGCTGGCTGCTTTCTGCCTCCTCCCAGCGGATGCGCCACTTCCATCCCATCCTGGCCAGCAGGTGGGCGTGTGGCCCTTGAGCGACATCTCCACTGAACTGAGGCTGAGGGGGCAGCGGAGGTGCACGCAGGCAGCAGTGGCAGCCCTGGTACATCCGCCAGCCCCACCCCCTTTCGGAATATTGCCAGTGCTGCCACTGCCATTGTTACGTATGGAGAATAAGGGAGACCAGACATCTGACCAGTGACTTCAACTCTTTAATAAAGTGATAGACATAACAGAGCAATGCTATGGGCAGCAGTAACCCTTTTATAGGGTTGGCTGCTGCCTTATTAACCAATGAAAATGTGCAACAGGTTTCAACTACTGACCAATAAGGACAGTCCCAAAAGTGGCCAATCAGGGACTGGTTCTGGCCCAATCCCAAGTTGTTGTATAAGGACCAATCAAGTGTGCAGGTTTTCAACCCCTAATTTGCATTTAGGTTATTCACTTTTATTGATTCACAACACCCCTCCACCTTGGGTTCCGTTTGAGGGGAGCTGTGATAAAATCCTCAAGATAGGCAGGCCGTTTGGTCTGCCTGGATGATTTCCGAGGCTCCACCGGGTTTTGTCCAATGTCCGGTTCCGGTGGAGCGTTTGGATGACCATTGTTAAGTTCTATTTCGCTGCACGGCGATTCCGTGCTGCATTCACTGTGGTTGTCTCTGCTACTGCGTGTTTCTTCGGGGTTTTGCAGTTCGTTTTCCCCCGTATTAAAGTTCCCTGAAGACATCAACTCCCTCCCCGCTTCACGTTCCGGTGCTTCGCTGGGCTGTAGGGCTCCCGTTGACCTGCTATTAGTTGTATCAAAGTCAATTCCCTCGATACTGCCTCCCCCTTGAGTTGTTGAACTGGGGGAGTCATGGCCGCTGGGTGGTAATCTCGATCGGAGTTGGTCTATGTGGCGTTTCCACACCCTCCCATCGTCTGTTAGCAGGCGGTAAGATCTAGGCCCGGTGAGGTGGGTAACGGTTGCGGGTATCCATAACGGGTCGCCGGAAAAGTTTTTGGCAAAGATTAAATCGCCTACCTTAAATTCCCGGCATTTGCTGCTGGAGCCGAAAGGTTTTTCTGGTGCGAAAGCGGGGTGGAGCCGGTCAAGGTGCGATCGTATTTTCCGCCCCATAAGAAGTTCAGCGGGTGTTTTGTTGGTCACGCTGTGGGGCGTGATGTGCTGCAATAAGAGGATTCGATTGATTTTCTCATCGATGTTGCCAAATTCCATTTTATGCAGGGTCTTTTTCACAAATTGTACCATGCGTTCTGCACGTCCATTCGCCGCAGGGTGCGCGGGCGAGGTCAGCGCATGGCGGATGCCCCGATCAGCCAGATATTGTTCAAAGGGCAATGCAGTGAACTGTGGGCCATTGTCCGAGACCAACACGTCCGGAAACCCGCGCGTGGCAAATAGTCTGTTTAATTTATTAATAACTGAGTCGGTTGTAGTTGTGTGCATTCGATGAATCTCGAGCCAGTTAGAATAGGCGTCGACAGTAATCAGGAAAGTGTGACCTTTGGTAGGCCCCACAAAGTCAATATGAATACGGGACCACGGTCCCCTCAGTGTTTCCCATTCGGTTGGGCTTGCTTTCGGTGGGGCGTTGCTGACGTCCTGGCAACGTTGGCACGTAGCGACCCAGGCCTCGATTCTTTTGTCGATTCCCGGCCACCAAGCGTAGCTGCGTGCGAGTGATTTCATCCGCACAATGCCCGGATGTCCCTCATGCAATACCGCCAACACAGTCTGTTGCAATTTGCCAGGGATTACAACTCGATCGCCCCACAAGATACAGCCTTTTTGGGAAAACAGCTCGGTTTGGCGGGCTTTGAAGGGCGCCCATTCAGGTGCAATTTGGTCCGTCGGCCACCCCCGTTCAACCCAGCGTAGTATGTGTTGCAGAACTGGGTCACGTTTCGTTTCAAAAGCAACGTCTCTAGCCGTCAAGGGTGGTGCCTGTAGAGTTTCAATCTGTAGTGTTGAGAGGGTTGGGGCTGGATCCACAACAGCATCTGGGAGCGGTGTTCTGCTCAATGCATCGGCGTGGAGAATCGATTTCCCCGGGAGGTGCTGCAAGGTGTAGTTGTAGGCCGCCAGGAATTCAGACCAACGGTTCATTCTGGGGGACAATATATATGGGGTTGGTTTATTACCCGCAATGATCCCCAGTAGCGGTTTATGATCAGTGATTATTGTAAACGCACGGCCATAAACATATTCGTGAAATCTTTTAACTGCAGCAACAATAGCTAAAGCTTCTTTGTCCAGCTGACTATAATTTCGTTCAGCTTTAGCTAAGGTTCGCGAAAAAAACGCGATGGAGGCTTCCGCTCCGTTTGGTAACACGTGGGCCAGAATTGCCCCAACCCCAAAAGGTGATGCATCACATGTGATAGTGAGTGGCAGGATCTCGTTGTACTGCATAAGTACTGAATCAGAAGTTAGCAATTTCTTTACTTGTTGGAAAGCATGTTGTTCCCGTTGTCCCCAAACCCACGTTGCTTTTTTATCTAATAGTCTATGCAATGGTTCAGCCACTGTTGTTTTGTGGGGTAAAAACACATTATAGAAATTGATAAGTCCAAGGAACGCCTGTAGGTCTGCCTTGTTCCTTGGAGTGGGTGCCTTTTTAATTGCTCGTAATTTGTCTTCGGTGGGATGAATTCCTTGGCTGTCCAGGAGGTATCCCAAAAATTCTACTTTTTCGGTACATAAGTGGCATTTATCTTTTTTTACTCTGAGGCCTGCATTTTGGAATCTTCGTAAAACCTCTTTGAGTCATTTTTCTAGGATGTCTTTGTTAGGTGTGGCGATGAGTACATCGTCGAAATATGGGACAACGCCTTTTATCCCTTGTAACAACCTTTCCATTAAACTCTGGAAGATTCCAGGGGCGACACTTACCCCGAATTGGAGCCGGTTGCATTTAAATGTGCCCCTATGTGTTACGATCGTTTGCGCCTCGGCTGTGGTTGGGTCTACAGGCAATTGTTGATACGCCTGGGCTAAATCTAGTTTGGCGAAAACTTTCCCGCCGCCCAGAGAATGGAGTAAATGTTGCACTACCGGTACTGGATAAGCACTTTGCTGCACTGCGTGGTTTAATGTGGCCCGGTAGTCTCCGCAGATTCTTAGGGACCCATCAGGCTTGATAGGCGTCACTATCGGGGTTTCCCAATGGGCGTGGTCGGTGGGTTCCAGTACGCCCTGCGCTATCAGCTTATCGAGTTGTTCGTCGATTTTAGGCTTTAAGGCGAACGGCACCCGACGCGGCTTAAGGCGGATGGGTGCTATTTCAGGGTTCAAGTTAAACGAGATTGGGATCCCCTTATACTTGCCTAGTCCGTTCGCGAAAACGTCTTGGAATTCTTGCACGAGTGCTTCCTCCCAATCGACGCTTTCGGCCTTGTGGACTCCGGCTATAGTGATTCCGAGCGGCCGGAACCATTGAAGGCCTAGAAGGCTAGGCCTGTCTCAATCCACGACCGTTAGTGGTAGTGCGACGGTGCGGTCCTTGAATGAGACCTGGAATCTGCGGGACCCGACGACGGGGATTCGGTTGCCCTGATAGTCTTTGAGTATAACCCTTTGAGGGTTAAGGTCTTGGCGGCGAATCGATGGAATAAGCTGTTGGAGCATTTTCCATGACACCATCGAGAGGGAGGATCCCGAGTCTACCTCCATCACGCAAGGTTTGTTTTCGATAGCGACCTTCACTCGGATTTTCCCGGCATCAAGGGATGTAGCATGGCCTATGGTGATTGTTTGGTGGGTCTCTTCCCACCGGGTTTCTTCACGCCTGGTGGAAGTGGTGGACGGTTTGTTTCTGTAGGAGTGGTTTAATTTTTTTCGGTGTGTGCCGAAGAATCCTGAAGATTGGCATTCGGCCTGTCGGGGTTTGGAGTTTTGTTTGCTTCTGCAAACCTTTGCGATGTGACCTCGTCTCCTGCAATTTCGGCAGAGCGCGTCGAGGAATTTGCAACCGGATTGTGGGTGATTGGATCCACAACCGGCACACGGTCGAAAGGAGTGTTGTGTGGACTGGTCTCGCTCCGTTCGCAGTCGGTTGACCTCTTCCTCATCGCTGTCGGACGGGGACTCTAGGTCTTCGTGGTGAGTTGATACCGGGTGTCTCTCTGTGCGAGGCGAGGTATCAGTGGCGAGTTTACGTAGCGGTGCGTTGGTGCGGCGCATTCGAGCTGCCGACTTCTTGGTTGCCTCTGCTGCCGAGGGTTCTTTAAGGGCATCGGTGAGACTGATGTCCCCCTTAGCCATAATTTTACTCTGGATCGTGCCGTCTTCTAGGCCCAGAACCAAACGGTCCCGGAGAGCTTCTTCTAAGTCTGCGAATCCGCAGAGGCCTCCAAGGTTTCGGAGGTCCGCGATATAATCAGCAAGGCTTTCACCTTTCTGTTGGTCCCTCCGGTAATATTCGTGTCTTCGGACTAAGGTTGGCACGGTGGGCGCATAGTGAGCCCGTAGTAAAGGCTCGAGGACGTCCCAGTCCATCTCTTTTACCTCTGCTGGCTTGGCAAGTGACTTTGCCATTTTAAACACGGTCGGGCCGCAGTGGGTTAGAAATATAGCTCTCTTTTTTTCCGGCTGTTGCATTTTTCAAATTGTTGGTCTCCAGAAACATCTGGAACCTATCCATGTACGATTCCCAGTCTTCGGTTTCTGGGTCGAATGGAGCGGGTGGTACGACACCGCTGGCCATGTTGCCGTTGATGGTGCGTGTTCAACCACGTGCTCTGTTAGTTGCTCTGTAGGTTAGTCAGCTCTTCGGTCTCCGAATCCCATCCTCATCGCCAGTGTTAAGTATGGAGAATAAGGGAGACCAGACATCTGACCAGTGACTTCAACTCTTTAATAAAGTGATAGACATAACAGAGCAATGCTATGGGCAGCAGTAACCCTTTTATAGGGTTGGCTGCTGCCTTATTAACCAATGAAAATGTGCAACAGGTTTCAACTACTGACCAATAAGGACAGTCCCAAAAGTGGCCAATCAGGGACTGGTTCTGGCCCAATCCCAAGTTGTTGTATAAGGACCAATCAAGTGTGCAGGTTTTCAACCCCTAATTTGCATTTAGGTTATTCACTTTTATTGATTCACAACACCCATAACTGCTGGGAAATGAAATAAACAAAGCGAGTCCAGCCGCTGCCCCACTGCTCGCTTTCTGCCTTCTCGCGCCATCCCAGTCAGACCAGGTGTGTGTGCATGTGTGTGAGAAAGGGAGAGAAAGAGAGAGAGAGAAAGAGAGAGAGGAAGGGAGAGAAAGAAAAAGAAAGATCAGAAAGAGAGACAGATAAAGAAATGAAAGAAAGAAAAAAATAGGAAGAGAGTGAGGTGTGTGTGTGTGTGAGAGAGTGGGGGCTGGAGTGGGGCGGCAGAGAGGTGAGGCGACTAGAGCTGCTTGTGAGTTTATTCAGTTCTTCCCAGAGTGGATTGTTTATAGTTGCTTTTGAAGGATGGCCTGTTTGGAATTGCTCCAAGGGGAAAATGTTTGAAAGAGCAGAATTATCCAAGTTTTCTGCAGGCTTCTTTTGTGCAGCTTCATTCCATTTCAGTGGAGCAATTCTTTAGGGAAGAGGGTGCTCTCAGACTGCTCTGCCACTTAACATGCAAGCTGATTGGGGTTGGAAGTTCTTGGAGCACTTCTAGAAACTCTTATCCTTGCAATAAGGCAAAAGGCTGTCTCCATAGGTCACATGGCAGAAGAGATCTAAATAACAGTTCAATAAGCCCCGTCCTCCCCCTCGCGACGAAAACCCCGTCCTCTGGGGAGCTGCTTCCCCTCCATCCTCTGCGCACGGCGAGGGGAGATCACCTGCATGGCCTCGCCTGACTGATCAGAGGGATTTGTGTGCTCCCTGTGAATCTTAGACTGACCTTCGTCTGATCCATCAGATCTTTTCTTATCGCCTTAAAATAGAATTTGCAAAGAGATCCTATTTGCAATTAGGAGCCATTCTTGACACCTAAACACTGATGACCAATTGATCAGTAATCTGTGTGGTTGGAGAGTAGAGCAGCTTCCAGGGGTGCCTCTTCCTAGAAACCTAGAAGTCCCTCCCCCCACTTATTCACCCCCTTCTTGGGCCTGGATGAACAGGTGTGTGTGTGTGTGTGTGTGTGTGTGTG